CGGTTTATTGTCGATCGAGAAGAATGCGAGCTTACCTGACATCGACGCAGCGGAGAATTAACGAGATTAATTATCAACGCCACGAAATATGCGTGGGAGCACGCGCAACGCGAGTAATTAGCGTTCAGAGCGCCGGCAGGAAAAGCGGAGCCGGAATGGCTCGTTTGCAAGAATTACTCAACACTCGGCAGGAACGCGAATAACACTGCCTCTTTGTAACGTGACGCGCGGTACCATCGGCTCAGAACGAAACGGCTCCGCCGGAAACACTGTGGTCGCCCAATTACTCTCTACTTGCGGCCACTGATTGTCGACTTTGTCGATAATACGTATTTTCTTCGTTTAACCCGTTCGCTACCGCCGTTCGAGGAAAGAGTCGCTTATCCACAGCCTAGCTCGAGCCAAGAGCGAGTCGAGTATCGGCAAATCTGCGAAGAATTTGCACAATTGAGAAAAGTGTGTTGCTTACGCTACATAGAAGCATCTCTCGTCGTTTCTCGTATTCCAGATTAAAATACTATTTCTCTTACCGATATGTGGCACATGGTAGCGAACGTGTTAAAGATTCCGCTAATTATTTAGTCCATGGGTGTCCAACCCGCGGCCCAAAGCAGGTATCAACGCGGCCTAATGTTATATACAAAATATCAAATAAAATGTATAAAACAACGTCAAACTAATCCCACGTTGTTCCAATTATAATAAAAAGAAATATATATTTTACGTTTTCATTCGCTCATCACCGTTAGCGTTAGGTCTATTCCTTCCTTAGGTCTAGCCCAAAACAACTGGTCTCCTTCCACCGTGGCCCAGGGAAGCTAAAAGGTTGGACACCCTTGATTTAGTCAATGAAAACGGCACACAGCACTCAACACGTAGCGAGCAAGTATATAAACACAACTCATTTCTACGAATAAATAAATAAATAAATGAGAATGCCAAGCATCTAGTTAGAGGGGTAGAAGTTTGGGGAACTCTCAAGCGTCGTACCTCGATACCGAGTCTCGATCCTACGGGTCTCGAGAACAGTCCACGTCGATGGTAGATTAGTCGCAAACGAAGCAACACTTACGTCACCCGCGTTAGAAACGTCGCTGGTCTCGTCGTCGGGGGTGGCAAGGGGTGCGCGAGCCGGCGACTCGAGCTCGTGGTTGCGAAGCTGGAGATCCTCGTCGACCGGTTCCACGTCGTTGTCAATCTCGAGACACTGGGTCTCGGAGACTATCTTCACGCTGGTCTCGGATATGACTACCTCGGTCTTCTCGATGAACGTGGGCTCGGACACGGACAGTTCACTGGACGATTCCGTTATCGCGTTTTGCTCGTCCACGTTATCGTTCGCTTCCTCTTTAGCTTCCTCCTCCTTGCCCTGCGCTTCCTCGTCCTCGTCCAGCAAATTTCTTATCCGGGGATCAGCCTTCTCCGCAGTCGTCAGGGTTTCGCGAGCCTGAATATCGTCTCGTGGTGGATACTGTTCGTAATTTTCCTCGCTCAGCACCCGTCGTTCCATATCCAGAAACTCTTGAGTACTGGCTGCCTCGATCGAGCTTTCCGAATGGCTCAGGGTTCCCTCGTCGAAGCTTCTGGACTGCATGGTCGGCGTGTCGCGGATCTCCTCTTCTGGTTCCTCCTCCAAGAGCTTCCCTGCAACGGACGGCTCCTCGAGATCTTCGGGGATTTTCTCCTCTACCAAGCTGCAAGATTTATCGTTCATCGATATCTTCATCCACTCCTCGTCCGCGAGGAAATCTTTGACCTCCGCTTCCTCTTCCTTGTCGCATTCCGTGTCTATCGCGAGCTCAAAGGGGTCCTTCGTTTTCCTGTCCTCCGATACCGTCTCTTTGGCGAATTCTTCCAAGACCTCCGCGTCCTCTTGATACGATTGATCGAAGTTATCCGAAAACTGGCCAGCCTGTTGGTCCTCGGCGTAGGTCGTCTGCTCCGTCCACGTGTCTATGATGTCCTTGCTCTGCGAATTGCTTTCCTCCGTTGGTCCGACGTTTACCTTCTCCTCGGTGTCCGTGGATTCCGTGGAAGCTTCCAAGATCGTGACCTGAACCTCTTTCTCTCGTTGGTACTCGTCGACGTAGGTCGCGGACGTAGCGGTTAGCTGAACCTCGTCTGGTTCGAAGGGCGACTCGAACGGTTCCTGGGCCGTAGTCTGCACTTCCGGTAACCTCTCCGCGGCCTCGGAGATCCGAAGGACGGGATCTGGACACGGTTCTTCGTTGTCCTGGTCTTTTGGAAATATTTTCTCATCGTCCGACGGAGCACGTGCCAGCTGATCGATCTCGCGCGTCGTTGTTTCTTCGATCGCTATCGCGCTGCCAACTTCCGGCTGCTCGTCGAACGCCTGTGCCTCCGGCTCGTCCCGGAACCCGGTGTCGATCGATTCCGGCTTCACGTTCGCCTCGTACGACGAATCCGAGATTTTCGTCTCGGGTGACATGTGACCGTTCTGATAACTGTACGGTTTCTCGACCAGCGCGGAATGCTCGGTTTCCGCCGCGATGAACTCCGTGTTCACGTCCAGGGCGTCCTGTTGCCTGTCCAGGACGATCCTCTTAACGGTTTCCGGTTCGTTCGTCGTTTCTTGCTGCTCGTCCATCTCTATACCGGTCTCCTCTTCGGTGCTGGAGCAGATTCTTAGCGCTAGCTCGCTCTCGATTAACTCCTGAAGACTCTTGTCGTCGGTGTCCAGCTCGTTACGCGTGTTGTTAGTCAGGATTAGGTCGTCCTCGTCGTCGTTGTTGTCGCACAACGAGATTAGTTGCTTGTTACTCGAGGTTATGTTATCCAACTGGATCAAACCGTTGTTAGATTGAACACTACACACCTCGCTCTTTTTGCTACTTACTACATTGATCGACTTCTTGGTCGCCACCTCCGCCATTATGGCGCGCCTGGTTCGACGGTCAGTCACACCCTGGGCACCTGCAATCACCAGAGAAAACGCGTTTTAGCGACACGTGTGAAAAGGGAAGAGATTTGGGGATTGGGCATCGACGGTTGGAAGGAACTGGAGGGAAGGAACGATCGCGGAGGGAATAGCGAGTGACTCGCGAGTCCGAGTCGAATGGCGGCGCGGCTCGCAACACCCGGCAGCGGTGGTTTTATGGTTATACGAAGGCAAAGCTCGCTGCGCGAGTAGCCCCATAAAGTGAACGGTGGAAGAAATGCATTCGTTGTTCGTCGACTTCTCGACGGGACAACGAGTTCGACCTCGGCCAGGAAATTAACGGCGAGAATTCGAGAGAAACTCGGCGCCCGGCCCCTTCCAACCGCACTCCCATTGATTTACGCCGCGTAAATAATAGATTAATGTCCCGTTTGCCAATTCGCACGCTCTTTCCCGCAGAATTATCTTCCGGCTGCACGCTGGATACCCAATCGACTTCGCCTAGGAACCGACTCCTCCTTTTCGAGCCATTCGTAAGAAGGTCACCGGGTATTTCTGGACGAATAATTTCCCCGGTTCGCGCGAGAGGGTCGGTGTTCGGTGCAGGAAGGGAGGTTTAATTCGTCCGACGGAATTAGATTCCGCGACGATCGTTTTCTTTCTGCACGCGGCGACCGGTCCATGCGGCGTTACGCAACTTTCGCCTTGCGCCGGGACGTCCTTTAAAAGTCAGTCACGGATTATTAATATGTTGGCGGATTTGGATGCGCGTTCCCCCTCGCATAAACATCCGCGATCCGACGATTACGAAAATATGCGGGAGGGGGAGGGCCCGAAGATGGTAGGTCGTTGAGCAGAGAAGGCAGAGAAGGCAGAGGTCTATTCTTAGTTTGCTCCGGATTCGGTGAACAACGAGATCCGCTGTCCTTCTCCGAGGGCCGCCACGAGGTTCGCGACACTCGATGCAGCCACCGGTATAACAGCCCGAGGTCTCGTGTACCCGAGTTAATTCCCGACGACGGTGTGTCCTCTCGCGTGCATCGAAATTAACGGAAGATACGGCCGTATGGAACTCGGGAAGCGGTTGCAGGCCCGCGTTGTTGGCTGCCAAGCCAAATCCTCCTATTATTAGCCATTCCGCGCGTCCGCGTATTTATGCCGTAGCCACGGAACGCATTTCGAAAATGAAATCCGAAACTGCTCAAGGATACCGCGCCGGCTGCACGCTTCCTGGAGCCATGTTGTTTCGCAAACTGGAAGGCTCTCATCATGGTCCGCGCGCGCCGCGACCCCGCAGCCACGAAAAGCCGTTTGCGTAACGTCTTCTCGTTTCACGGTCTAAATCTGTCGCGTTCGGTTTATTCCGGGACCATTTGGCGGAAAAATTTATGGCCGGCGAAACGAGCGTTAATCGATGTTACCCGGCTCGTTAAAGTTGCCCTGGGTCAGGCCTGTCGTGCATCCGAGCCGAAAAGAATACCACGCGCTCTTAAACGCGATGAATTAGTGGGTGCGAATTAGCCGAGTCCGAACCGGCGTAACGCAAAGGGCTCCTAAACGTCCAATTGACGGCCACGATTGCGATTCCACACGCTGGATGTTCCACGCAGTCGTTTTTAGCGGATCGGCGAAGCGACGCGGAACCATATATTGGCTCGAAGTGGTCGTTAAAGAATACCTAACTGTCTCGTCGACGTCGATATATAGTTAGGTTAGGCGCGTCGTTGCGCGAATTATCGGCGACACCGTGATCATTCCGAACGAGTAACGCGATCTTGTCTCGCGACGAACATTCGTTTTCCTCGATTTCCTCGGAGAATTTCATTTCGTTTTTTCCGCGTGGAACGTATCCGATGGACTATGCGTGGAAAACCGTTCGAGAAATTCCAGTGTACCGTGGGCCACGATGCGGCGCACGATTTATAAACAGAGAAAGAGAACGGTCGAACCGATTCTGGCATAAACTAAGCTGCGTCGCAGTAAAATTAGAAAGTGGTCGGAGTGCGCATGCGCGAGTGCCGCGGCGTCTCCGGTGTGCGCATGCGCGCGCGCACGTTTTTCCATGCTCCACGACACAACGTGATATTTAAAAGCGCGCAGAACGCTTTCAGGCCTGTCGTCGTCGTGCCTCTCGAGTCTTTCGCGCACTGTCCGTTTAATTCGATCTTCCTCTCCCCCTCTCTCTCTCTTTCTCTCTCCCCGTCTTCCCCGCTTTCTTTTTCTCCTTCCTTCGCGGTACTCTCCTTCCTTCCCTTCCCTCTCTGTCCATTCGTCGATCTTTTTCTCCCGCTTTCTCGATCTCTTTCGCTCGATCCCGCACAAACACACACAGACACACACACACGTGTACGCGTATCCACACAAAGCACTCTCTTCTTTTCTCTCGTCCCTCTCTTTGGCCGGCGTTTCACCGAGGTCGTTCTTCGGGTTCACGACCGGGACTATAGGAGAGCCGATCCCTTCTCTCTTTCTCCCGGATCGCGGCTAACTCTCTCGTTTCAACCTCTCCTCTATTTTTAGAATGACACACTACCGCGATTCAACGACGCTTGCCCCGAGACTCTCCGCCGCGCCATAGCCGGGAAATCCTCTGCCCAAAAGCGGTGGCGAACGAAAGCGACAGCATCACTTTTCGTTTCGATTCACGCGAGGTTCCAACGCGTTCCTCCTTCGTCCACTCCTTTTCGAACGAGTCCACCGTGGAACCCGATCAACCGGCGTTTCCATCGTGCACAGATCGTCCCGCGAACACGCCATTACCCTCCATTTTATTTCGCCAATTTTCATCTCGATTCGCTCGGTCGATAAGTCGCGTCGGTAACTCGCGAGAGGTCGCGTTGGTAGATACACATGAACGCGATAGTGTATACACGCGTGTAAACGGGACAATGGTAAAGGGATGTTTCAGAGCGACGCGTAGCGGAGAGTTTGCAGCGTCTCGTAATTAAACCGCGACTTTACGACGATGATTCGCGAGACGACGAGTGTGCACGGAAGCCCGTCGAAACGAAAGCGCAAGGTTCAGCTGTAAATTGCAGTATCACGAAGTATTTGCACAATCATTCCGGACGTGCAGTACGTGCTGGAGCCAGAGGCGGGTGAACGTACGCGAGGGTGTCTGCGCTTTTGTCTCGTTCCTGCGCCCACTCGCGGTGTTGCAACCGCGTTATAATTGCGCCAATTCGAGTTTCCTTTCGCGGAATCCTCGCCACCGAAACACGTCGCGCGCGTCGCATCTGTTATCCCGGTCGGTAATACCGGCGTAAAAGTGTCTCGGTGAAAGACACGCGTACGGGAATATACGCTTGCGCGAAGAAAGCCGGGCAAACGAGGGTTAATTAACGCGCGTTAATCGGTGAATTTATGTAACGCGAATCGATGTGGCGAGTGAAAGGGATCGATTACCGATGTCGCCGAGTCACCGTGCGTCGTTCCATGGATTTTGTAACCGCACGCGGACCGCACCTGAGACCCGCGAAGACGTAATCGATAATGGAAACCTCGCTTCCTCGATTCGCGTCCACGCCTATCGTTCGCGATCGCGATAGAGGGCGCGCAGGGAGCAACGTCTCGAAATAGACTCGTCCAACGGTCCGGCTCGAGAACCACGTAACTCTGTTTCCGGGTATTACACCAAATTCGAACCGAATCGGTGCAATTCCGCTCGTGACACCAGTGCTCGGAAGTCCGCGACAGATACACGCGAATCGTCAAGCAACGACCACTCTATTGACCCTAAACGACGGTTTATAGTCTTTAGGAACGCAGCCAATTGAAATCTCTCGACGACGGCTTTCAGAAATAGTAGACCTAGTTGGTAAATGACTGGCACTGATCAACGTTGAATATTTTAGGTCTGGAATCGACGTAAAAGAGGCTGGATACAGGTTACTCCGGAAAGAAGATAATTTATGCAAGATATCTATGACGCAAAGGTATCGGTGGCCATACTAAAAATTGTTTTCTAATTTCGGAATATTTTCCGAATTTTTAAATTTTGCGCAGTTGAATCGTATCGAACAATTCAAGTCGATACTGTAGATTACATCATTTTGAAATTTCCTTTAGCTTCGCTTGCAATTTTCCCAAGATCAACTTTGCAACAATTTCCACTCTAAATGCAAAATACACAGCTTCCTATCTGGAATAAAAAGAAAGTAACCAACTACCAAACTTTATACCGTAAATTACCCTATAATTGTCACAACCTCTCAATTTTCAAATTTGTACAGATTCCCGCGGGAGAAAGACACCCAATTTTCCCCAGGTCTATTATGCAACAATTTCCACTTTAAATGCAAAGTAAGTATGCCAGAATTTTTTATCCAAAATTAAAAAGAAAATAACCTCCGATCAGATATCAAAGTTTATACCGCAAATTCTCCTATGCTTCCCACCATTTCTCAATTTCAAAACTTTTACAGATCCCCTTCCACAAAAAGACTAGCAAGAAAAATTCTCCCATTTTCCGACGCATCGACGACGTGGATTTTACCAAGACTCGGGAAAAAGAGAGAAGAAAGAAAAGCCGGGGAAAAGGCGGGGAGCGCGAGCCGGCGTTTATCCGGAAGCTGCGGCGGCGCACGCACGCACGTACGCGCGCACGCACGCACGCAAAGAATCTTCCGCGTGCGTGCGTGCGCGCGGGCGGCTGTTGCGCGTTTTCACTGCAACCCGAGTTGCAGAAGGCGCGGCCCGATCTGTCGCGGTGTCCCCTTACAGATTTCTATGCAACTATAATTAGGTAACCGACACCGGTCCCCGTAGGAATCCCTGTTAGCTGCGAAGCTATGCCGGCACGGAAAGTGGCGCGAATATTTTCGGCGCGAGGAAAGCCGAAATTAAACGCGGTGTCGCACTTTTACGCGCCTGCTCGCGCGTATACTTAACCGGTTACCCAGCTTCCTCTCTCTCTGCTCCTTCGTCTCCATTTCCTCTCCTCACCCCGTCAGCGTTCATCATCGTCATCTCGCGACAGTTTCTCCAAATTTTTTCCATTTTCCATCGAAGAATCCTCCAGCGAATGGACAAAAAT